GGACATCAAGTGAATCTTCTGAGGATCCCGGGAGCCCCACAAATCAGAGCGTTGGCACCTGCAACAACTCTGGTCAGCATGTTCAACCTGCATATCCACCTGTCAGCTGGTCGCACTCTGCAAATCTAAATGGCATGAATCTGACATGAAAGTGATGCATAATTAACAAAGTCATGTTGTATGTGTTACTATTATGTATTTGTTTGAAGGAGAAAGCACCGAGAGTTGGATCACTGTGATGCTAGTTGCCTCGAATTACTACCGTACCTTTTGAGTTGGATCACTGTAATGTTAGTTGCCTCGAATTACTACCGTACCTTTTTAAGTGTGCCTCTTAGGGACATTTTGAGGCACGTCACAGATGGTTCTGACGATCCCAGGTTTATGTGGTTAGATCACTCCTGGTCTGAATCATTTGTGTGTCTACTACTTGGAATCTCTATTTATGTTGTTTACTAAGAATTTATCTTATCGTCTTCCATTTACAGTGGTGCTCTCTGATATAGGTTGATCGACTGTTTTTTGGTTCCAGTCTGCCTGATACTTTGGCACCTCTACCACTTTGCATCCATCCACAGGCAGATGTTGAAGAAGTATTTGCAGGATCTCTACTATGTCAATTATTTTGATTCTTTTACTCTGTATTGGCTCATTCGGTAAACAGTGTAGACTCTGTTTTTGGTGGAAACAATCTGCTCCACCATTTTACATTGAGTTCTAACATATACATGAACATTGAATGCTTTCAGTGTGTTGTCTCAGCCACTTCTCATGAGAGATTACTATAGTGCTTGAAATAAATGGCCAGTATGTGATGCTTGATTCCTTCAACTCAGTGAGCAGCTGCTGTATGTACAAGTGAAGGAAATGTGTGAACCATATCGTCCAGCATTGACTTGGTATGATGCTTGACTTGTGAGATTGAGTCTAGAAAGATTCTGTCGAATCTTGAGATTGCCTGACCTGTTGGCTGGCCTTCAAATAGCACCGACTTCGTCTTAACCGTAGGAATGTCTCCTTCGCGACCTTATCGCAGTTCTCTCGACTGTGTAGATTACGTCTTGACCATCGGGATATCTCCTTGAAGACCTTACACCAGTTCTTGAATGAGAGGTTTGCATTAGCCAAAGACACTTGACCACAGGAAAAGATGATAATTTCAGATAGATCTGATGATTTAGCAGAGACTGCAGGGCTTCACTAAAGCTCTATGGAGTTTCTTTCTAGTTCTAAGGTCATCACCAGAAAGAGCTCAACGAGGGAATCATATGAGATTAGTTCACAGGGATATGGTGAACTTAGCACAAACATTAACCATATTTCTGGGCTTATTTGTCATTTCTGTTATGATTTGTACGTTAACATTACTTAAAAGTCATTGGAATCAAATACATCTATGATGAAACACATTTTATGAGCTTTCCTTGATGGACAGGCTTTACTTCCTAATAAGAAGAACCACTGTATGTGCTGCTATACTTCTATTTTCTCCAAGGCTGTCGACCTTCTCATGTGTTTTTGCTTTTAGATTTACGACGGACGGGTGCGCTCCAAGCAGATCACATAAATTGGACCTGATGGCCTCCTTATGTGGGCTTAGCTTTGGTCTTTGCAGAATCAGCGTGGCATCCAAGTTTCCGAGCTCATAACCAGCTTCATGCATCAGTCTCACCTGATATGGACTAGTATTAGTAAGCCTACTTGAATGCTTTGAGATGTTGTTAAATTATTCTTGAATGCTAGAGGTCCTATAAGATCCCATATTTTTCAACCATGTGTAATCAATATCTGCTCTTAACTGGCTTCCACATGAAGGATGAAATAACTAAATATTAAGAGTGACCTTTAGATTGTCATGAAAGCTCAAGTGAGCATATTTATGGTGTGACAACAGAGAATACTCTTAACGTAACTACCGAAGGAAAAATGAAGACTTAACAGAGCAACACTTCGTACATAAAAAATGAGCAACACTTCATACATAAAAAAATGTTGTATGACTCATATTAACAAAACTATAGCAGGAGTGACGAAGACTATATGTAATATACAATTCATGCCTCAGAAATGATGAATTGTGCAGTCATATCAAGATGGTTACTGACATTAGAAACTGAAATTCAACTATATATGACATGTTATAACAATAAAAATCAGCTTTTTGGTGCTGAATAATAGACCACATCATGCATCCCATGTCCTATGGTGGGCTTTAGGGAAAGATAAAAGGAGAAAAGGGTGAAAATGAGACTAAAAGAAAAGAAAAAAAGGAAAATGGAGGCAAATGAACATCAAAAGTGGACATTGGAGGCTACAAAAAAGATAAAAGAAGATAAATACCAGGACAGCAAGGCCATAAAACCACTTTAATTACTTTGTGCAAATGGACTTACACATCACAATTTATATGAAAGATTCAAAATATTCACTGCTATTATCCATGATTTCACCTTCAATCCAGACTGAAGTTGCTAAATCCTACCCCCCTGAGTTTCATAGCTGGTGAAACTCAACCAAGCTGTTAATATGCATGGACACATTGGACTTGGGGTTATATTGAGTCTGTCAGTGACCTAAACACTGTCAAGGGAAAGGTTATCTGGAGACTTACGCTCTCGCCACATGTGCTTTTCTAAGTTGCCAGTAAGGACAATATAGATGTTGCTTTTTAGCTATGAATATATGGGCAAAAGATATCCATTTGAGAACATGTAAAAGCATGAATTGGGAAAAGAAAAAGGCAAACAATAAAGAGAAAGGTGCAAAGGTGCGAGACCACAACTATGAAACAAGCTGGATAAGGAATGATAAGTGTATGCTCTAATCATGTTCTTCCTCAGTCATATTTGAAGATGCATCTCTGTATCTACTGGATCTTTTACCGAATTCCAGGGTTATATTACAAGGGCCATGGTTCCACCAGAAATATGAAATTTCTTTATATAATGTTGAAGGTCCCAGCTCAAGAGGCATGTCTATCCAACCTAGTTACTGGATCCCCTGTTCTTTCAGGATACTACAAGAACCATTGAAAGACAATATAAGCCTCTGTTCAAGTTCTAATATATGAGATGGCACTATATGTGATAATCATATTTCTTTTTATCCCCAATTTATTTAACTGTCAACAGAATGATTCAAGGTTCAATGACACGAAAAAGAGACACTGCTGATCATTTGGTGCAGCAGCTTGCTCATCATTCGATGTTTGCCCTTCAATGATTAAAAGGGGCTTGTACATGAAAAGAATCCCTGCCGACCATTTGGTGTAGCAGCTTGCTCATCGTTTGATGCTCAGCTTCAAATGGTCATAAAGGGGCTTGTACATGAAGACTTAACTACCTTTTCTCCCATCCTATTAGGTCATGCAAGTTCTTCCAGCTTCATGACCCAAATCATGGAAGCAAGCCTTGCTGGTCCTCTACCTCAGCTCAGTGGTTTAACTTTCATGAACAGTTATGGAAAGAATCTATCACATCAATTCAAGATTCAAACTTTTTTCTTTCTATTAGGATTCTTGGCTATGGTTGAATGAGAAACCAGTACAAGAAGAACATAGGAAGCAAACAAGCCAAAGAACGCTCAAAGATAAAATGAAAAGTAAATCCAAATAAAAAAGCCAAACTCACAGCTTCTCTCACAAAGACTGAAGAGGCTGCGCCCTTCCATTTGGGATCCGAGTCTGGAAAGATCTGACTGATGTCCGGAAGGCCCAGCGCCCCCAAAATCGCATCGACCACACAGTGAAGCAACACATCACCTACACAACATCACAAACAAAAGCAAGGGGGGAATCAAACCTAAGTCCATCGCAAAGCATAATTCACGAAGCCCTAATCGTAACTATACCATCAGAGTGGGCCTCACAACCCCGATCATGCGGGATGTCGATGCCGCCGATGATCAAAGGAAGGCCCGGCTCGAGGCGGTGCAGGTCGAACCCATGGCCTACTCGGAAAGGAAGAGACGGAGGAGGTCGAGACGGCTCAGATTCCGCCTCCACCGCTTTCTGCTGCTCCACCTGAAGGGCAGCGGCGGCGGTCAGCGGCCGCAGGCTCGACGGGGGCCGCCGCGGCTGCATCCGGAGGAAGCTGGGGACGGCATGGGCAGAGGGAAGGGAGAGCGGAGGTGGAGTCCGCGTAGATTTAGGGGCGCCTGGCGAGGCCCAGAGGACGGACAACGACGAAGCCATGTTCGAGTACGTCGAGCGAAAGGGGGGGGTGAATCGGGTAGCATAAAAAACCCAATTTTCTGCGATGCATGTATTAAAGACGTCTCCGATATTACTCGTGTGGCGGCGTGTCGTTCGTTATGGACAACACTTTTCCTGCAAGTTCGTGAACACTCTTTGCCCTACCGTGCTCTTTATTGGAGGCCTAAGTGGCCCCTACGTTTAGACCGCTTGTAAGGTTTCTCAGTGTTATTCGGGTTCCGAACTGGCGAGTATCAATAAATCCCAAGAGTGCTCAGTGGGTGCGAGTCATCCACGTGGAGGAGGAGGATTCGTCTGGAAGCTTCACCGCGTATGGGGTCTTAGTCGTGCATCCCGACTTATGGGACAACGAGACGAAGTAACCACGGCATCCGCATTAATTCCAGAACTACAAACATGATTCGCCATCGTAACGTGTTTGGCGTGGGATTTGGGTGGCCTTTGTACTTAGTTATATTAATGTCATTAAATCGAGGATAAGGACAGCAATTAAAGTCACTATTGAGTAGTTCAGGGGAGAAAGAAAAGCAGGATTAGCAACATGGGTTGGAATGACCACTCGACGCAGAGGAAACAGAGCTTTGCCTTTTCTTTTTCTTTTGCTGTCTGCAACTCCTCAGCCTTTTGCCTTCTCAGCTGATGCTTACCAAATCCTTCCACTTCAATAAAACAACGCTAAATACTCCCCAAGAAATATAAAGAATATAGATAATTAATATCCTATATATATATATATATATATATATATATGAGAAAGGTTGGAGGAGGACAACCGGCCGGAACACTGTTACTAAGTAGGTGGTGGCCCATTCTTTGGTCCCACACACTCACTCTAGTGAAATGGCGAGGAAGAGACGACACATACTACAAATCGAGTTAAAAGAAGCAAAATTAGAAAGCAAGGAAAAGGGAAAGCTAAGCCTTCCACATTAGAAACTAATCCTAATCCTAATCTTCGGGACTACTGTCGTCCTCGTCCTCCTCGTCGTCGTCGTCTTCGTAGTCCTCTTCCGCCCCTTGATGACGCTCGCGGGGCCCCGCCATCAGCTGCAACCCCGGCTTCCGTGCGGCTGCCGGCGCAGCATCGCTGCTATCGGGTGCCGCCGGGGAACCCGCCGCGCCGGTTGCAGACACTGGCTGGACCGACGCAAGGTTGATAATCTGCGGCCCCGGCGGAAACGTCCATATCTGCGCCTGGCTCGACGGCGCCGTGGCCACGGCGGCGGAGGGCGGCACCATCCATAGCGCCCCCGGCGGGATCGACGTAGCCCCGGTGGCACCGCCGGCTCCGCCCATTGTCCAGAACGGGATCACCGCCTGCGTCCCGCTCGCGCCTACGGGGGCCAGTCCCGCCGGTATTGATATGGCCCCGTCTCCGGACAGCAGAGGGTCTTGGACGGGGAAGTAACCGGCGACGACGGCCCCGCCACCGCTTCGCAACGGTTGAAGCTTCCTCCTCCTCTTCTTGGCCGCGTCCTCGCCGTTCGCTGCGGGGTCGTCCGCCGCAGCGGCGGACGTGGAGGTGACCGGGGCGGAGGACGGCGCCTCGGTGGGGATCTTGAGCGTGCCGCCGACGGTGGTGGCGATTGCGGGGACAGTTCCGGTGCCGGTGGCGGCGATGATCGCCGGCTCAGCCTGCTCGAGGAGCCACTTGATGGTTTCGCCGTCGGATTTGTGACCTAGCTCGCGCGTCAACTGGAAAATCCGGGCGGCGCAGGCGGCCGGCATGCGGATCCTCCGGCCGCGGCCTTCGACCTTGGTGTGTCGGTCCTTGTTCCGGGACGCCGGCCGCCGGAGGATCTGGAACGCCCCCAGCCCCATCATCTCGATCGGCTCCGGTTTGGGGACGATGAACCGGTGAACGGGAATGACGCCCGCCGGCGGTGCAGCCGCCAGTGCCCCGCCGCTCGGCCGGGAATCGGCCTTTCCCTCGGGCTTCCCGGAATCCATACTCCCTCGTCGCCGTTCCTCCCCGGAAAGAAGAGCACGTCCTTCTTCCCTCTCGCTTCTTTTTTCCCTCCTCGCTTTCCCCAATTAACCAATGACAAAGCTACCAAAACCCTAAGAAACCCACACCCTCTCTTTATTCATCACCCACCACGACGAGATCGGAACTCTTATTCCAACTGTGCCCCTATTCTAGTGAACTTTGACCGTCGGATCGTGATCAGGAAGACAGCGTGCGGGTCGACCTGCACCCGAAAGGGTTAAGTATGGGATTTCGGAGAGTGCGTTCCCTTGCCTAAGCTCCACCAAACTTTCCCTGCCTAGGCTACACCCGTGCCTCCCCTTCCCTTCTTCTTCTTCTTCTTCTTCTTCTTGATTCCACCGAAAGCGGGGCCCACTGCCCTCTTCAGCCCCTTTGTGTCGCTGGGGCGTGGGCGATTATTTTCGAAATACATCGTTATCTACCCATTTTGTCCACCCGCCTTTTCATTGAGTTTCTCAGGTGTGGGGCCGACGAAATACCATGCGTCGACGAAGAGGTGGGGGGCGCGGTCGGGGGGAAGGTTGGGTGGATCCACACGAGGGGCACGTGGCTCGTCACCCATCGTCCTCGGGACGGAGCCCGATCCACACGGTGGTCCCCGGCACCAGCCTTCGCCCATGCCGACGGGTGGACCGAGCGTGGCCCCCACTCGGGGCGACGGACGCGCGTCGTGGGGCGACGTCCGTGGCCGGCATTAAAAGTTGGGGTGGACCACGGGGCGGGAACAAGAGCCGGGTCCCACACCGGGGGAAGGCGTGTCGAAGCGCCCCCGCTTACCAACATTACCATCCGCCAATCGGACGGTAGGCATTGGGCCTCCATCAGCATTAGCGTCTGATGATGATGGATTGGGGTACAGAGCAGTGACCCCGTGAACACCCAACTCCGCTTTGCTTGTTGTCACGTGGCTACACCGAGACAAAGGTCTCATTCGTTCATCGCAAAGCGATACGGTAAATGGTCTCAGTCGATTTAGACTCAAACATGTAAAATATAATCAACAAGAAAACGAAATTATATAATCAATTATAATTAGGATGATTTATAGATTAATGTTCTGTTGAATATTAATTTATTCATCAATAGATGCATTGACAAGCAGACACACGAAAAGTGTTGAAGAACACAACAACTGAGCACAATGCTCAACGTAGATCATCAACTTCTTCAGCTGGCATGTCTTACACCCTTACATAATCTCCACATCTCCAACCAAACGCTGCTTTTGTATCTGAACTCCCATGTACCTGCACCACAAGGTAAACCTTCAATCCAAGCAGATAAGGATGGTGCCAATCGTAGTCCAAGCAATCTGCATCTACCATTGTTACTCGTCGACAAGATTAGTCAGCGAATGAACGAGGAAAAGAGTGTCACTTGCCTTCCCAGCATCATCACGGTAGCTTGGGGATTGGTTCCGGGGGAGAAAGTGAAGGTGGAGCCGTCGATGACCCGGAGAGCATCGACGCCGAGAACCCTGTAGTCATGGTCTACCACCTGGCCGACTTGGCACCCGCCATGGTAATGCCATATGGTCATCGTGAGGTCTTTGCAGTACTGCTCCAAGGAGGTGGAGTCATCGTCGTGCCTCGTTCGGTTGTTGACGATCAAGCTTGCAGATAGGGTTATGAGATCTTCCACGGATTGATTGGAGTTCCTGAACTCGGACATCTCTTTTGTCTCGAGCACTCTCTTTATCGTCTCCATGCCCTCCACGCACGTCCGGACGTCCTCGGGTTCCACAAAGTAATTGAAGGTGACGGCGGGATTGTCTTCTGGATTGAGATTCTTGAGGTGGAGGTGACCTCGAGACAGCGGGCGTGCCAGCTTCTCCACTATCAGTCCGCCTTGAAAGGGATAGATCTCTTCGTTTCCTTGCTCGGACGAAGCGCGTGATGGTTCAGCACCGCCGCCGGAGGAGGCACCGAGCAGATCAGCACGCAAGTTGAGGCCGGTCAAGGACTCCACGTAGTAGCCCGACGGAGCAATCCCGACGACCTGCACGGAGGTGATCTCCACCGGCTGCGGCGAAGGGATGACGATGAGGGACATCGGGTTGTCGGACATGCCTTGGCCGACCATCGGCTGGTCCAGAACGACCTCGATGCCCAGGGATCCGAGGTGGTCAGCCGGGCCGACGCCGCTCAGCATGAGCAGTTGCGGGCTTCCGAGGGCTCCGGCGGACACTATAACCTCGCTGCCGGGGCAGTCTTTCAGGTAGGCCTCGTGCACGTTGCCCTTCTCGTCCTTGTACACGACACCAGACGCCCGTGGTCTCTGTCTTCCTGCATCATCATGTCATATTTATTGTTCGAATGCATCTACTAAGAGCTACATGTAATGCGTGTAAGAGTGCTCCCACCTCCGTCCCTGAATAAAATCCTCTGCGCCGTGGCGCGCAAGAGCACGGTCAGCCTGTTGGGGTCGGCGTACTTGAGCAGGTCGGCGGCGGTGTGCCGATGACCATGTCGATCGAACGTCGTCCCTCCGATCTTGGTTCCGTACAAGTGATCGTACGTAAACCCGTTGTACGGTGTCACTCCGGCATGGAGAAGCCCCTCCTTCAGCGCGGAAGTCCACTGAATCAGCTGGGGCTCGGAGGCCACCTCCTCCTCCACCCATCGGTAGGACCGGTTCACCAACTCCACGTCCCAGCCCATCTCTCTCACCTCCCGGGCGCTGGCGCGGGAGTAGAACCCGGCGTTGATGCAGGTCCCGCCGCCGAGGACACGGGCTCGCGCGTTGATGACCCCGTCCTCGGAGACGAAGCGTTGGGTGGGGGAGGTCGGAGTGAGGTCGGCCAGGTTGCGGACAAAGGTCGCCAGGTTGGATATGTTGCTGTTGCCGTAGGGAGATCCTCCTCGTTCCAGCACCAGCACGTCGAAGCTGCGCGAAAGGGTGGCGGCCAAAGGGCAGCCGGCAGTTCCCCCACCGACGATGATGTAGTCATGGTAGGACACCGTCGGACCGTCCGCTGCATGCTTCACGAAGGTGTAGGAGGGAGCTGTCAAAACAGAGAGACACAAGAAGCTTGTCAGTATCAGCGAATGAAGAGGGTACAGATATATCTCAACTAGAGACAAGAGACGGACGTTTCTTAGCTTGGCAGAAGCTATGAAAGCACAGGACGAAGACACTTGCGGCAAAAAGGAACCTTTGCCTGGCCAACTCCATGATCTCAAGCTTTGGTGGGAGGAGGATTTGAGCATGGATCCATGAACTGCCTTATATAAGGTACGGCGAGGTGTTTATCCACGAGGATTTCCCTTCAAGCTTCGTGTCTTCATGTCTGCCACAGCGATTGGATCTATCCTAGTCTTTATTAATCGTTCAAAGTATTAACTACTAGGCGTTCATACCAGTAAAACGTCGAACGCTGAGACGTCAATTGTGGCAGCTAGCGGCGGCGAAGCAGGGCATCGCATGCAGAGAGGGGACAGGTCGGAGCCTATTTACCTAATCATTTCAATCTTTAATATGACTCAGATGCAAGTCAATTACTACTTTTACGATTACTTACAGGAAACGGTTGACTTTGGATAGATCGAGAATTGCTGGTCACACACGGCGTCTCGAGGTCACATTCAACTCATTAATGGCTGTCCAATCCTTCAGATTCTCCATGGTGGGAGCTTCACGCCAACAAACAGCATCGTCGAAAGCAAAGGCCAACCACCAGGAGGAATAGATCCAAAGAGTAGCAGGACCTGATAACTAGATATTAAAATGATTGAAAATGATTCGTCCAATACAACAATTACAACTGTGAATGCAAAGTTATTATTGACAACTGATTAAAAAATTAAACGAAGAATATAGAAAGATAGAAGTTATAGAAGAAACTATGAAATGTATAAGATGTAATTGTCTAATTCGTTTAGAGTGAGCTCTTGATAGTTATTTATACACACTGAGCAGGGAGATTATACACATTCAGCATGGAGGATTTTTCTCAACTGCTTAGAGATTTCCTCAACTGCCTTGAGGAAATCTTATCTACTTATCATGCCTCCGTAAGATTGAGCTTATGCTTTAAGGGCGAGAGGCTTTGCTAGTTGATTACCTGTATGTACGTGAGAAACACGGAGTTGATGTCTGACAACGGAGTTGATGTCTGACAACTTGATCTTGCACGGAGTGGAAGTCAATGGCTATGTGTTTCATGCGGGAATGGAACACTGGATTAGCACATAAGTAGGTAGCTCCAATATTATCACAATATATTGTAGGAATAACTGCGGAGTTGACGTTGAGTTCCTTGAGCAGATTTGTGACCCAATTGAGTTCAGCAGCGGCGGTGGCGATGACACGATATTCAGCTTCAGTTATAGATCATGAAATCGTCTTTTGTTTTTTTGAACTCCAACTGATTGGAGTAGCTCCAAGGAAAACAATATATCCGGACGTAGAAGTTCTATCATCAAAGTTCCCTACCCAATCAACATCAGCAAAAGCATGGAGATGGAGTGAAGTATTTTTGCGAAGAAAAATGCCATGATTAAGAGTCCCTTTAAGATACCGCAAAATTCTTTTGACCGCAAACCAATGCGTAGTAGATGATCGATGCATGAATTGCGATAATTTATTGACGGCAAATGAAATATCTGGACAAGTGAGAGCCAAGTACTGTAAGGAGCCAAGGACTTTTCGATATTGAGTCGAATTAGTAGGACTTCCATCACATAATTTAAGTGACTCATTGGTAGAGAGAGAAGTTGTAACCTCTTTAATAATAAATCTTGAATATACTTTCTTTGTGATAGGAAGAGACCTGAAGGTGTAAATGTTGCTTCCACTCTCAAAAAGTAGCTTAAAGTTCCTAGATCTTTGAGGGAGAATCGATCGGCCAAGTGCTTTAGAAATGCCTGAGTCTTCAATCATTTTCTATGACAATAATATCATTCACATATACTAAAAGATATATTATGCTTTCATTGTGCTGGCAAATAAATAACGAGGTATCAGACTTGGAATTGATGAAGCCAATTGGATAATTGGATATTAAAATAGGTTTATCTTTAGTAAACAATGATAAATTAAGAAACTCTTATCATCATTCTAAGAGCTTGAGATGGATGAGTCAATTAATTAGTGGTTGTATTGTTGTTTCCTTTGAGAATCAATACTGTTACGGTAAGTAACTTTTTTAGCCATGACCTGGGGGTCGACGCGGCTGGTTCAGGGGTCCGAACGACTAGGATCAGGCGAGGCTACCAGGATTGAGATCTTGGAACGACCGATCACGGGGAATAAGGCCGGGATGCTCCGCGCTGCTGGGTCGGCTTTCCCCGAATACCTGCACAAAGGTCGGGTCGGCGATTCGGCCCGACCCCTCCAACGGTCAAGTTAGCGGTGTGGAGGGGAGTTTTAGGGGAAAATCCTGTGCTTGTCTGCTTACCCCGCCGGCTGGGAGCCCGTGGGTATTTATATGTGAGCTTGATGTTACCTGACGCCACATCGCCGGGGCAGAGTCGTACTCCTGATCACGTCTGTTGCCGTTGTGGGCGTTGCACGGTAAGGTCGAGTTGTAGGGTGTGGTAAGCCTTGGCTGACGCCTTCCCCTGCTCTGTCCGGTCGTACGGGGTCAGCAAGACGAGGCCGTGCGGGTACGATCGGTGAGGGTGCGCGTTACGCTGGTATTAATGCTTGTCCCTTGGCATGGTGCGCCGTTTGGGGCGGTTGTCATGGGGCAGTGTTACGTCAAATCCGGTGCGTCGTGCCCTATTCGTTTTTACCCCTATCAAATACCATTAGTATCTTTTAATTTATAATATTTGTCTGGAATATTGCTATTGACAATTCATTTTTTTTTGGCTATTAATATCCCTTTACTTTATACAATCATTTTAAAAAATAATAAAATATAATTTTACTAAATACAACTTCTCAATTACTAATTATACCCTTATTTGTTATAACCCCTCAAATATCATTACTTCATATTGTCATATTTCATAAATCGATCAATCATCATGTTAAGCATCAACACTAATTGAGTCTTAAAAAATATTACGATAATTAAGGGATAAGTTGATGAGATTGACATTCATTCATTTATTGAGGGGTATCTTACGAATATTACAAAAAATTAAAAATGAGATTATAAATAGTAAATCTGTTATAAACGATAGAAATCTCTTTTGTTTTGTTGGTCTTCTTTTTTCATGATTGTCCCTTTCTTTCTGCTCATGAGACACTGATTCACAGTAGTAAATACGCTATCAACAATAGTGACTCTGAAGAATAAGTTCAAAATTTATAAATATTCTTAGATTTTGAATCCAAGAGATAAAAGTGACATCCTCAAATCTCACCACCATACAGATGCATCTCATTTGATTGCATCTTAATTCACATGGCTCACGAGATACACCCTCTCTTTATTCATCACCCACCACGACGAGATCGGAACTCCTATTCCAACTGTGTCCCTATTCTAGTGAACTTTGACCGTCGGATCGTGATCAGGAAGACAGCGTGCGGGTCGGCCTGCACCCGAAAGGGTTAGTTATGGGATTTCGGAGACTGCGTTCCCTTGCCTAAGCTCCACCAAACTTTCCCTGCCTAGGCTACACCCGTGCCTCCCTTCCCTTCTTCTTCTTCTTCTTCTTCTTCTTGATTCCACCGGAAGCGGGGCCCACTGCCCTCTTCAGCCCCTTTGTGTCGCTGGGGCGTGGGCGATTATTTTCGAAATACATCGTTTACCTACCCATTTTGTCCACCCGCCTTTTCATTGAGTTTCTCAGGTGTGGGGCCGACGAAATACCATGCGTCGACGAAGAGGTGGGGGGCTGCCGTCGGGGGGAAGGTTGGGTGGATCCACACGAGGGGCACGTGGCTCGTCACCCATCGTCCTCGGGACGGAGCCCGATCAACACGGTGGTCCCCGGCACCAGCCTTCGCCCATGCCGACGGGTGGACCGAGCGTGGCCCCCACTCGGGGCGACGGACGCGCGTCGTGGGGCGACGTCCGTGGCCGGCATTAAAAGTTGGGGTGGACCAGGGGGCGGGAACGAGAGCCGGGTCCCACACCGGGGGAAGGCGTGTCGAAGTGCCCCAGCTTACCAACATTACCATCCGCCAATCGGACGGTAGGCATTGGGCCTCCATCAGCATTAGCGTCTGATGATGATGGATTAGGGCAGAGAGCAGTGACCCCGTGAACACCCAACTCCGCTTTGCTTGTTGTCACGTGGCTACACCGAGTGGGG